GCAAAATCCCTTCAATGGATGATGGACAGAAATGCCTTGAAACTTCTTTCTGCTTTGGATTTATACATGTTATTAGATTAAAACCCTCACCCCCTTTTTTTTTCTTTTTTCTTTTTCTCTGTATTGTTTTGTTTTTCTTTAAATGCTGTTTCAACACGAAAAAAAAAACAGATTTTTGATTGTTAAAATATGCCTTAAGTGTTTGTATTTGAATAATGTTTATTAATAATAAAATAAAATAAAAACTTGCGGTAATCTAAGCGGAATAATCGAGTCGATCGCGAAAGCAACACAGTGACGCACTGTTGAATTTAAATTAAAAGCCCTCAGGCACTGCACATTGTTCAAAACTAATTAAATGCGGCCAAATAAATACATATAAAAATACATAAATAAATAAATTTAAGTTTAATACTTTTTTTTCTTTAAAACCTTTTATTCCAACGACAAAATAAAACTGTAATTACAAAAACTACTTTTACACACATATGTGTATATATATATATATATATATATATATATATATAGTTAAACATGTGTTACGTTGTGGTAAACATAAGAATTTGAAGTATGTAAACCGATTTCATTATGCAATAAATAAGTAAATAATAAGAAAATGTTCCATTGTTTGAATATGCTTTCCCAAAGTAGTCTAGAAAACACTTTTACTAATTTAATCAAAAGATGTAAACACGCACATTTGTTTTATTGGAAAATTATCAATAATCAATCAAAGAAAAACTAGTACAGTAAAATGTACTTGACTACACACTCAGTAAAAGAGGTTTATGAGAATGTAAGTACAACTTAAAGCAATTTTCATCAGGTTCCACAAAAAAGGTGATTAAGATACTGCTCTATCCACGAGGAATAATACCTGTAATACAACTTTTATATATAATCCAAATGGTATTCCAAGAACAACTGGACAGATTATAAAACAACGTTGTAAACATAATTTGCATTAATTATTGGACTTCGTTTTGTACTGAGAGGTAAATTTGCAGACGGTCCCTAAAGCAGCCTAGGCGAATGTCTGGCGAATATCAAACCTAAAACTAACTTTACCGCGCTTTAATGAAAAGTCTGTAACATAGTTTGGTTAAAATTTCTCAATGGTAGGTCTAGTGTAAAAAAAACACCTTTTTTTTTTACCCTGTCAAAATCAGCTCTTTTCAGAGCAAGCCGTTTTAGTAGCATTTCCTTTAAATGTTAATGAGCTCTACTGACCCCGCCCCTCTCTTCGGAGCCTCTCTCTGAGGGAGTTTACTTTAGCTGCATTCATCGTGAAACTTGCTAATTAGCACATTATTAGGAAAGAAAATATTTACCTAAAGACTTTAATATTATTCTAGATTCAATATAATTGGCGGCACTGGTGGCATAATGTTGACATAACCAAAAATATTTCCCACCTGTCCCTCTGTATTACAGTGACACACTTGCAAATTTAAAGGGACAGTTCACCCAAAAATGAACATTTGCTGAACATTTACTCACCCTTAGGCCGTCCAAGATGTAGATGAGTTTGTTTCTTCATTAAAACATATTTGGAGAAATGTAGCATTACATCACTTGCTCACCAATGGTTCCTCTGCAGTGAATGGGTGCCGTCAGAATGAGAGTCCAAACAGCTGATAAAAACATAATAATCCACACCACTCCAGTCCAGTCCATCAATTAATATCTTGTGAAAATAGAAGCTGTGTGTTTGTAAGAAACAAATCCATTATTATAGCATTTTAACTTTAAACCATCGCTTCTGGCCAAAATAAGAGTTTGTAACACTTCCTCCAGTGTAAAAGTAATCCCCTGTTGTCCTCTCACATCAAAATCTACTACATATTTGTTTGTTCATATTTTAGCCAGCCCAGAAGCAACAGTTTGAAAAAAAAAAAAAAAAATGCCTTGATGGATTTGTTTCAGATTTTCGCTTCACAAGACATTAATTGATGGACTGGAGTGGTGTGGATTACTCTTGATGTTTTTATCAGCTTTTTTAACTTTCATTCTGACGGCACCCATTCACTGCAGAGGATCCATTGGTGAGCAAGTGATGCAATGCTACATTTCTCCAAATCTGTTCCGATGAAGAAACAAACTCATCTTCATCCTGGATGGCCTGAGAGTGAGTACATTTTCAGCAATTTTTAATTTTTTGGGGCAATTATTTCTTGAAATGAATAAGGCCAATCCATAAACAAACAAACAAAAACTCACTGTTTGAAAACATAAGACGTAAACAATATTAGTGTCAATATGAATTTACTGGAAAAAAAAAAAAATCACTCTTTTCTGTGTAAAAATGACACTTGCTTTGGTGTTTTGCATCCAGTACACATTCAGACAAATTTTAAGTGTGACTTAAGTGTGCAAACACGTTTAGAGCAACAGTAAGTGTTTCACTCCAAAACCTGCATTGGCAAAAAAGTGACCATAAAAGGAATCTGCAGTATATGATATGAAGCTAGAAAAACCACATTCACACAGTATGGAATTATCTGACACAAGACGTGTTTTCTTTTTATAATTTTCTTTTATTTATTCAAAAGAAACAAGGAAAAAATAAAATAACAAAAGGTTAAGAAAAAGGCGAGACTTAAATAGGAGTGACTGTGTGCAGGTGTGTTCAGGAGGAGAGAGAGGACATGATTTCTCACTGCGGGTTTGACGAAGCCCAATGCTCAGGCTAAAGCAGCAAGCCCGAGACACTGTCACACACCAGAGAAAAAGGCACTAATCCAGAGAGAACAAAAAAACAAAGAGGAGGACGAGCGGGTCAATAATACACGAGGAGCAAACAAAATCCATAAGAGCTAAAACATACAACACTGAAAAGACAAAAGAGCTAAGAGAAAACAAACGGAACGCATCAAATTAGTCGATGTGACAATTCAAATATACGAAAACTCTCTGATTTCTTACTTCTTACTGGCTTAACTGGCATCCACCAGTTTTTCAACACCAAATCTCGTGATTTTAAATCGTTTCGTTACGTGAACAGCTTTTCGTCATGGACATCGTGAACAGATGCGCGTCTCTGAAATCATGAAACTGTGGTTCAGCTCTCCATCTGAGTGATGTTGGCTACATTCACATCCAAAGACAAATAAAAAGTGGCTGCAATAAATACATTGGCTTAAAATGGTGGCTAGCCATCTGGCTTTTCACATTAGATCAACTCCTGCATGATTGGAAGCTCCCCGGTGATAAGTTGCTATCGCCAAGGATCCACTCACCTATTGGTTCTAAAACAAAGAATGATGTCAAAAGGAACACATGATGCGTTAAACACTACGGCGTTATGTCTGAGATGCTCATAAAATTAGCATGTCTCAGAGCTACTCCGTTTCATCCACCCTCACCAAAAAATTAACATAATTTACAATTGGAACAAAAAAAAAGTGTCGAAAGGTAAAACAGACAGACACATACAAATATATAATATATATATTCTTAAAAAAATGGATTCTCTCTATAGGTGTTTTTTTTTCCACAGCCCAGATGTACAATACGTTTGCAATTTCTTACTCTTACATTTTAATAGTATTTTTTTTTCCTTTTTTAAAACAGCGTCAGGATTTACTATTATAAAGAGATTTAAACATGCAGCCAAAACAAACAAAACAAAACAAAACAAAAATGTAACAAAAACAATTCTAATTGCTAGAAAAGAAGCCAGAAGCAGCAGGATGAATCTACAGACAGAATCATTGTTGTTTTAATTTATGTGTGGTTTACTATGCTAGGATTCAGCCTTTCCTTCGCCCTAACAGCTCAGTCTGGACTGCAAGCGTTCATGAAGACATCACGATTCTCAGGAATAATAGTTGCGCCCGGGCACCACGGCAGAGGTGGAAACCTCCAGCCTCTCCGCTACGGTTTTTTTTTCTCTCCTTGTTTTCGGTCACGGTTTCCATTCCTCTGTGCCGCTTTAATTCTCACAGGAGTTTAAGGGTGTTGACGGGGAGATGTAGGGTAGTCTGATTGTATGTGAATGTGAGGGGCCGTTAATTACAATTTATTCACTAATTGCTTGGTTTTTCTTTACATGTTCCGATTGACAGGCGTGACATAGTTGCGTGGGAACATGCCCGTCTGGCTGTGACAGGCGCCCTTCCACCAGTTGGGGTCAGAGTTGTCCAGGACCTGAATGAAGTCTCCGCGTCTGAAGCCAAGCTCTCCGTCCTCCTGAGGGTCGAAGTCGAACAGTGCCTGCACGTATGTTGGATGCTGCAGGTACACAATAGACACGTGTAAATAACCCAATGATTTTTTTTTTTTTTTAAAGAAATCTCTTATTTTCAACAAGGCTACATTTATTTGATTAAAAATACAGTAAAAACAGTAATATTGTGAAATATTATTACAATTTAAAACAATTAGGGATGCACCGAATGTTCGGCATCTGAAATGATCGCCGAAAAAAATCGCAGAATAAGCGAAAAGACCGAATAAATTGTACCAAACAATGACGTGACGCGATAAAATAGCAACCAGCGCAGAGTGAGAGGCGCGCACTCTTTATAACGCAGCACACATGTCAGCAGTGTGGAAGCATTTAAAACTGTCTGAGAAAGAGGCAGGGTGATTGTTGCTGGTTACTGTATGATGATTGAAATCGCGAAATGGCCTTAAACAGTTAGTAAATAAACTGCAGAACGTTATGTTTTCTAATACACGCATGCATTGCATGTATTCTGACTAGAGCCCGACCGATATGGGTTTTTTGGGGCCGATACCGATATTAGGGAGTAAAAAAAGGCCGATATCGATATATAATAGTTGCGCCCGGGCACCACGGCAGAGGTGGAAACCTCCAGCCTCTCCGCTACGGTTTTTTTTTCTCTCCTTGTTTTCGGTCACGGTTTCCATTCCTCTGTGCCGCTTTAATTCTCACAGGAGTTTAAGGGTGTTGACGGGGAGATGTAGGGTAGTCTGATTGTATGTGAATGTGAGGGGCCGTTAATTACAATTTATTCACTAATTGCTTGGTTTTTCTTTACATGTTCCGATTGACAGGCGTGACGTAGTTGCGTGGGAACATGCCCGTCTGGCCGTGACAGGCGCCCTTCCACCAGTTGGGGTCAGAGTTGTCCAGGACCTGAATGAAGTCTCCGCGTCTGAAGCCAAGCTCTCCGTCCTCCTGAGGGTCGAAGTCGAACAGTGCCTGCACGTATGTTGGATGCTGCAGGTACACAATAGACACGTGTAAATAACCCAATGATTTTTTTTTTTTTTTAAAGAAATCTCTTATTTTCAACAAGGCTACATTTATTTGATTAAAAATACAGTAAAAACAGTAATATTGTGAAATATTATTACAATTTAAAACAATTAGGGATGCACCGAATGTTCGGCATCTGAAATGATCGCCGAAAAAAATCGCAGAATAAGCGAAAAGACCGAATAAATTGTACCAAACAATGACGTGACGCGATAAAATAGCAACCAGCGCAGAGTGAGAGGCGCGCACTCTTTATAACGCAGCACACATGTCAGCAGTGTGGAAGCATTTAAAACTGTCTGAGAAAGAGGCAGGGTGATTGTTGCTGGTTACTGTATGATGATTGAAATCGCGAAATGGCCTTAAACAGTTAGTAAATAAACTGCAGAACGTTATGTTTTCTAATACACGCATGCATTGCATGTATTCTGACTAGAGCCCGACCGATATGGGTTTTTTGGGGCCGATACCGATATTAGGGAGTAAAAAAAGGCCGATATCGATATACCGGCTGATATTCTTTGTGTATATTATAGTACAGTACCAGTCAAAAGTTTGGACACTTTCCCATTCGTGTGTCCACACATTTGACTGGTACTATATATAGAATACAGTATATACATAAACAGAATATATATACATAAACACATTTTTGCAATGATCACTCAAATGTGGTGATCAAACACTTATAATGA